AGATGTTTGGTCGTGGAATAGATGTTTGGTTGGTGAGAAAATTGTAATGTTTATGAAGAAAATTTGCAGAGAAAATTTGATGAGGAAATTTGTGATTTAATTAGAAATTAAATAAAAAAAATTTTCAAGTGGATACGTTTTTAATTTATTTTTGTCATGTAAGCAAAAAAATAATAAAAAATGCCACGTAAGCAAGTTAACGGTCCAAATTAACAGAAGGACTAACGGAGTGCATTTCGTATAGTTGAGGGATCAAAAAAGTGCAAAAATTTGTTGAGGGATCAAAAATGTTCATTTCGTAAAGTTGAGGGACCAAATTTAACATTTAACCATTTACCTTTTAGAAAGTAATAGAAGGAAAAACAAAGGAACAGGAAATTCCATTTCTCAGAAACTTACCTCCAGCAAAAAGAGACGTCATGGAAAATTCTATTTATTTACATTGGAAAAAGAGCAAAAGAGGTGACGGAAAATAGGGTAAGAAATTCACTTTAATTTGTAAAGAATGGAAAAGGTATACTGGAACTTTCAAAGAAATGGGACACTCGGCTTTGGTCAATTATTCACGGTGGCAGAAAGGCATAAACCTACTTTTAGTCCCTCATTTTATCAAATTTAAAGGTTTTAGTCTCTTATTTTATACCATGATACTTTAACCCCTCACCTTACTAGATTTATAGATTTTAACTCTTTATTTATTAAAATAAAAAAAAATAACCCTTATTTTATACTAACTGTTAACTTTATTAGTTAAAAGAAAGTTTTTGACAATTAATAATCAATTAATAATCAATTAATAAAGTTAACATTTAATTCATAAAACTAACAAAATATTACAAAATAAAAATTATTTTTTTCAACTTTAATAAATAAAAAATTAAAATTATCATAATATAAAATGAAGGATTAAAATTTATAAATTTAATAAAATAAAAAAATAAAAAAATATTATAATATTAAATAAAAAACTAAAACATTCAAATTGACAAAATGAGGGGTTAAAATTCAGCTTTTGCCGACAGAGAGCAGGAAAGGAGAACCACTCCTGGATAAGAAAGAATAAAATAACAAAAAGCAAAGCAGGAAAGGAGAAGCATTACTATATAAGAAAGAATAAAATAAGTAAAAGCAAATAGAAAATACCACAGAAACATAATTGCATTTGCTAAGCAGAAACCCATATGCGCGTATGGCTACGGCGGTGTCCCTGCTCTGTAAAAACAGGGCTACATTTCGATCCCTTCTCATCTGTGCTCAGTTCAAAGAAAGAATAAAATAAGAAAGAGCAAATAGGAAACATCACAGAAACATAATTGCGCGTATGGCTACAGTGGTGTCTCTGCTCTGTAAAAACAGGGTTGCATTTCAATCCTCCCTCATCTGTGCTCAGTTTAAAGAAAGAATAAAATAAAATAAAATAATGTGTTTTTTTGGCTGTAATAAATCAAAATCAACCGTTGAATGGGGTAACAAATTTTTTTTATCTTTTTAGTATTTATAGAAACATAATTGAGGTTGATTTCTTTAATAGAAGTAAAGACCAAGAGGGTATTTTGTAATTTGGAGTAAAACGTTTTGACGAAGGGTACTTGACAATAAGTGAAGGTCACTCCATCCACTTTATTATTTGAACAATAAAATATTTTTATACTAAACACATTAAAGATTAATAAAAAATTACTTTTTTGTAGAGAGATTATGTTAGAGACAAGGTGTTACTTTTATGTATTCTTTTGAACTTTGAATTATATATATTTTTATGAATATTTTTAAAATTTTACTAATTATCTTTAATTATTAATATAATAATTTTTATCTTAATTAATTTTTATACTTTTTAATTTCTTAAAAATAAAAAAATTTAAAGTTAAAAAATATAATAATAATTTCACCTTCAAATAATTTTCTCACTGATAAAGTAAAGTACCATCATTTCACCCACCACCCTTTGAAGAACATAATTTTTTTTTAACCAAAAAACAATTAAATTAATAGATTAGTATTTATTTTTAAAAAGCATTGAAATTGAGATTAAGAGTGCATTTAATCGACTTTTTTTTTAAACAACAATAACTACCATTGGATCATGATTGGAAAATGCCTGATGAACATAATTTAATCTTAAATAAATGGTCCCTTTCTTTTAACACTAATGGTTCTCTTTTGTTCTAGTTATGTTGGTCGTATTGCAATGTCACTGCCCATAAATACATGTGGGGCTCATTAGATTTGATTTGACATTTTATTTGTCAAAAATAAGTCAATTTTATAATGACTTATTAATTATATATATATCGACATTTTGGATAGGTCTAAAACCTTAAGGAAAAAAAAAAGAAAAATATATCATTTGCGGGGTTGAAAACAAAAATGTGTAAAATAATTTAGAGATAAATATAATTTAAAAATTAAAATTTAAAAACTAAAATTGAGATTTAATCAAAATAAAAATCTCTATTTTTTTTTAATCTATTTCATTCTTAATTGGTGATATACACAATTTCAAACAGAGAGCATTATTAACGAGTTACACTCCAAACAGGAATCCCCCTAACAACTCCACTGAAGTTCCCCGTCCCATCAATTTGAAATTTTCTCATCCCCACCGCCGCCGTTGCATTATTAACGAGAAATTTATTATCCCGTTTCGCTGCCCCGTCGCATCCCCCAACCTGAAACTTAAAAACTGCAAGCAGTCCCCCGGCACATACCCTCCTATAAACTCGGAAACGGGAACCTTGGCCTAACCTACCCTTCTATCTCCGGAGGAAGTACTGCATTTAACTTCCAGGATGATGAAACGCTCCCTTGCAGGCAAGTCCATGACGAACTTCTCGTTCCAAGTAGGATATCCTCCGCCTTGGGCGTCAGTCTTGGTGATCCGATATTTGAAGGGGTCGATCGAAACGACGACGAAGGCATTCTTTTTCAGATTTCTGTTGTTAATTCGGAGATCTCCCGCCGACAATACCGTGAGTTCGAGGGTTTGAGAGTTAGTCTCCATTAGATTGGAAAAATTAAAAGTAAACAAATTAATTAACTTTAGAAATGCAGAGGTCGAGGAAATCAATGAATATATCAGTGAATGGAGATGAGAAAAAAAAAGAAGACTGGAAAGTGTTATGTAGGGTTTGGGAACGATGTCGGGTAGAAGGGAGGGAGAAAAAGAGAAGTTGGTTCGGGTTTGTTATTCATTGCGCGCTGTTTGGTTTGTTTCAATATTGGCGGTGGACCAAGATTCTTCCTTTCTTTCGTAATAAGACCCTGCACAAGTGACAAATAATGATGCTTTAAAATCTGTGCATAGCCAACTGTAGAGTATTCCCACAGCCAAAGTAGAGTTTGCATGAATAAAAGAAAACCAATGAAACAATTACATTATTTCAAAGTAATTGTCGGTTTTTTTTGGTATGATCATCCAAGATTCCAAGCATTACATTAATCAACGGGGCAGACCAATTAGATGTCATAAAGAACATAGAGGAGGGTA